GATAACTGATAATGCTTGCTTAATTCCTCAGCAACACTCGGAGAACACGTGCGTATTTACGAAAGGAATTTTGTATTGTGTGTTAGGTGCTGCGCATATTAGAACAAGCTGTACAATCAGGTCAGATAAAGTGGATAAAAAAGTAAGACACTACACAGGTACCTCTTTCTCCAACTCTTCCCCGATGACAATAGTTGTTCTCCAGAGATCCGTCCTAGGTCCACTACTTTTCATCTTATACATTAATAACCTCCCGGACAAAATCCCAGTCCACATTGCTTTCTATGCTGACGATGTCATCATCTCGGGGAGTGACACATCAGCAGTGCAGGCAGCTATGTATATCACCAAAGCATGGTCATCAGACTGGAGCCTACCAATAAATGATGACAAATGTGTAAGCATGTCCTTTAGCTGGGGCTGCACGCACACCCTCAATGTGTGCAACCCAGTTCGACTTCAGACTGTCAACCAGCATAAGATCCTTGGCTTCTGGTTACCTAGCTCTCCGTCTTTATATTGCGGTAACCACAAAGCCCAAAGAAAGGCTTTTAGTGACCTCGCTTTATCAAACGCTCTTTCCCTCGCTTTGATAAAACTGACTTTCAACACTTATATGGCATTTATGTAAGACCGCTATTAGAATACGGAGACCAAACTGCGTGCTCTGGGCTTGTGAGTGATGGTATTTTCCTCTAAAGAGTTCAGCAAGCAGCCACAAGGCTAGTCTCAGGTCTCTTCTATGTCTCATACCCCATCAGTCTCACCAGACTAAACCTTTACTTCATAAACACCTGCCGCATTTGAGCGGAGCTTCTCATTCTTTACCACTTATTCTCCACGGACAAGTCCAACCAGTTTTTCACCACATGTAGCTAAGATACTCTTCGTAGTAACAGCAAAAAGCTGTTAAGGCTTTGGCCTCGGAGCATGTTCAAACACAGGCTCGATATATTCCTTGGTCTTAAACACGCTACCACCAACTACCATTAGTTGCTCCCTCTCGACCTGCTCGTCTATCTCTCCATCCACCATGTTCTCGTTTTGAATGCATTTATCCCTACTGCATTGCGTCATAATTTTTGTTGATGTTATGCATTTTTGTGCATGCAAATCCAACCAGAAACAAACGAAAACGTAAAAAAACAGAAAACCTTTGTGAAAACAAAGCGCCATAAATTTCCTTCGTATCTCTTACCGTGCATTGTGTCAAATTTTACTTACTTGCATGTAAAACTATGTTGACTATCCAGATGTGCATAATTGTCCACTGCAAGCAGATACTACACCCCTCTACACCACTGTTCCTTTTCAGGTTCTTCCTTTCACTTATCTGAATCCCTAACTCAATCACCCTCATTAGCGGACCGTGCTTTCAAATTCTCGTCAGCCGACATTACCCATTATTGGAAAATCGACGATCCACGATCCGGGACTATTGGGCTTAGCCTCGAAGGCGAGAAATACTTCAAGACGAAGGCCCTTCGTTGGTGGCGAAACCTTGTGGCCTGCTTGGTGTACTGACTGAGCGCATGCTCATGTAGCCATGTTAGAGAGCTTTCTCCCTTTGTCCCAACGGGAGCCTCTCCCTCTACCCAACAGATCTCCGGAAGATTGAAATCATCCAGAATTAAGATCCTTTGAGTTCTCGATATGAATTCCTGCATTGTAGCAAGTAGTTTCATATCTTATGTGAATTCCGCCTGGGGTGCGCGATAGACTAGTAGCACTCCTAACAGTCGTCTTCCAAACAGAATACTACACGCCTTGGCTTGAATGTTAGATGTTACATTTTGACTTGTGAGTCTCATTGAGCGTAAGCGGCTTTCACCAGCAGAAGTACTCCGCCTTGTCCGCCGTCCACTCTATCTCGACTATAAGCTGAGAAGTCTCTGGGCTTCTCTACATCCTGCTCATGCCCATTCCAAGTATCAGTAATAGGAATTATCACAGGACGATGTGTGGCCGGGGCCAGTTGTGCGTCCAGATGAATCTTTTGTTGGCTGATCTTGTTGCTGCCAACACTGTGAGCCACTATATTTTGTCCGAAAGGCAGAATAAGAGGTGTAGTATCACGTCCTAGGCAATGGCGCTCAGGACTGATAGGTACTCACCTTTAAACTGTTTCAGGGAATATCGAAGCCCAACATTCATCTGAGGCCCTCTTAAAGGCTATGGTGTTCGAGCAATTTACCATATCCTCGGGTTGGACATTTGAGCCACTTTCTTTACTATTCACGTAATAATTTACAGGAACACTCAACTACAGTATGTGGGTGTCGGATACCCCCTCATAGAAATTTTAGCAAGGCGAATTTCATGCGTCACTTCCAGTGACCTTACTCGTTGTGGCACTTTCTTATATACATTCACTATTGCAGATTGAGGAGACAAGCCTATCTTGAGGTGCCTATTTTCCGTCTCCACTCGGTTAGTAGATAGGTTTTCTAAAGTCAACATAGTCCTCACGGCATACCCTGCCCACTGCTCTCTGTATGGTAAACAAGTTTGGCGTGAATAAACACCTGCTTTTATGCTACTACTTTCTACGGTGGCTAAATCTACAAAACGATACCTCGTTATCACAGTACACCATGTTCCGCATCCATTGAAAGATGCGCCGCCTTTCGAACGTTGACGTACCAGATAGCTGGTTACATTTCTTCTTCATATCCCTAACCAGATGGANGGACGGAAAGTATTCTGAAAACGCGTTGTACTGAGCGGAGCTACGATCAACTACTATAGTCTTGCATTGTGTAAAGGCTGGGCACATAGATTTCATGACTCCCACGGCAGATCTATAGCCCTCACCGCTCTCATTCGGTAAGGCAGCGCAGAAGAAACTTCTACCTAAACCGGTGTTGTCTACAAGCAAAACATGTCAAAGCACATACCAGCCATAGTTTAGCTGATGCGTGGTGTCCGCTAACAAAACATCATTACACCTGTCGACGCAATGCAACATAATCTCAGGAACAACGCCTTCGTTCAGACCTATCCTTACGTCTCCCTGATTCTCCGGCATATCCCAAACTTTCACCGCATTGCCATGCGAATCCAAATGAGATCTTCTTCGACGTATGGATTTATTATCTGCCGTAGTTAAAGGTCTCTTAAACCTGTGTGTGGCGGAATCCCTTGGCTCGCGAGCACTTCTAAAAGTGTCCATCAAAGCACACACTCCCTATTTCTGTTCTCCAGATGGACGACGATCACTTATATACAAAACCCGCTGACCCACATGGAAGTCATGGTTGTGCACCAGACAACGTTTTATCACTCGAAAATCCCTTCCAACCGCGGAAATTCTAATGAATGCCGGACAATTGATATTTTGCGGTTTGAAACGGTTTAAATGCATCAGAAATGATAGCCATAATTACATGATTGCAGTTGCGCCGCGCCTTCTGTGATGTACTTTTGTAGTTCGTACTCAGACTAGTATTTCGTATACGTATCGGATTCCGCGCACTAGTAGTCTGACTCAGAACTAGGACTCGAAACGAAATCAGAAGTCAACTCAGAGGCGGAATGGAATTATAATAGGCGGAAATTAGAAATATACAAGGATATTGTGTTCAATAAAACAAAGGAGTTCATAGTTCATAAGCAATCACCACATGTACACAGCAATATTTGATGAATATTACGGAAATCCCTCAGGCGGGGTCAGTTTACAACCAACATTTCTCTCTCGTATCAGTTGTTTGGCTGTTCTTGATGCGTAAACATAGAAGAAAGTGCAAGTAGCCCTTTGGAATTCACGGAAGTCCTCCAGGAATCCGTCCAGCGATCCATAGCATTTTTTACCACTCGTTCAAAAACGACCGTATCGTCAACATGAGCTATGGTTGGTATGAGCGTGAAAGTGATCGTCGCCATTAGGTTGCGGTATATTACCTTCCGTACAAAGTCAATTAAGGCTAATTAAAACAAATTAGATTTTAACAAATTACTCAAAATCGGCCAAAAGCAAAAGCTGTTCAACTTCAGCTGAATTCGACAATAATATTTCTAAAATACATTTAAAAATCGGTCGGTTTTAGAAAACGTATTAGTGGGGATGTCATCTAGCTACTTATAACGGGGGCTAACTTCGGACTCGTCTGGTGAACCGTGATATTCTTAGGGTTTCGAACGTTTGCCTTTGTGCACCTGAAGAATTGGAGCTCGCTCCGTGGCCTGATCTGCAGCTTTGGCTAGTTCGTCAATACTGTGGGAATCGACGAAGACGTTAAGTGTACTCTTTACGTAGATGGCAAACTGCTGGAGCCAGATCTGGCGTAGTACAGAGTCGTCTAACGTTGTGTTGCCTACCGACACACGCATCTGACGCAATAAGTCTTACGGTTTGAGGTTTCCGAGTTCTTTCGCACGTAGTAAAAGCTGGTTACGCTTCTCTTCAGAAATGGTCATACGACGGAGTAATGGTTCTCTGAGCTTGTCGGATGGTTTGCGTGCGGAGATGTTTATATATAATTCCCTGAAATTGCTCAACAGTTCCCGCGTTATCGTGGACACCAGCTTATGGTAATGAGACAGTTGCACTGTGATGCGAGCTTCATGAAATCGCGATTGCAGAGGTTCAAATTTGCTTCACTAGGTGGTTTTGCGGGATACGAGAGGAGATTGATGGTGTTGAACCTTATTTCTTTGGAGAGACGGAGACGTCGAGTCGACTTCATCGAGGCGTTTAAGATCCATCTGTTGTCTCTTCTTGGATTACTGTACTATCCTTCAGCCCGATTGCAGCTCTGCCTCTGAAATTATGAATCTGTATTCTTCGCTATTCTCTTTCTGTTCTTTGAACTCTTTTTCGCGCACTTTATCCCAAGCGGATATTCCAACTCCCAATTTTCTGTCTTGCCCTTACTTTTCATAAGACAAACGTTCACAATGACGTGCATTGCATAGCAGATCACCCCAATACTCCATTTTATGACCTTGTTCGCTTTGTGTTTCGTTTTCAACGCACAGACCATTTACGATATACCTGTGTACCTGTATACAATACCTGTATAAAAATTACGTTCCTACACCATTTGTACCATTACATTTTGGTCTCCACCGTTACCTTTTCACATTGCTGTACATTTTTTTCATACGCACTAACATGCTTCGCGGGCTTCGCAAAATATACCGTTATAATTATTATTATTACAGATGAAGGAGGTGGTTCGCAGGAGCTTCTGAAGCCAAGTGAAACTACCTCACTCCGAGGGCACGCACTAAAACTGGCAAACGATAGGGTAAAATGTCGACTGAGGGCCACATCCTTTCCGGTTCGAGTTGTGAAAAATACGCTACACCAAACACAAAAGTAAAATACTTCAGGCCTGCGAATCACCAAAGTGCACGCAGAAAAATTGCCTAGTAAAACATTTGTGATCTTTGACAGATCACGAACGACAATGGTAAAAGTGAAACTACTTCAAGAGTTATTTCAGTGAAATATCTACTGATATTTCACTAGTACCGGACAAAAAGTGTAAACGAAATAGAGCACAGCGGAAATTCAAACCGCGCGCTAACGTACCGCAAGGTCAGTTCAGGACAAGAGAGTTAAGTTCAGTTCAGTTTGCACAGGACGATGTGTGGCCCGGGCCAATTTTGCGTCCAGATTGATTTTGCCTATTCCAACACTGCGAGTCAATAGGTATTTTTTCTGAAAGGCAGAATGTGAGGTGCAGTATCACGTCCTAGGCGATGGCGCTCAGGAAAAATAGGTACTTACCATCAAACTGTTTCACGGAAGGCAGAAGCCTAACGGTCATCTAATGCACTCTTGAAGACTATGACGTTCAAGCAACCTACCACATTTTCAGGTAGACTATTCTTGTAAAGAACTTGGCACGTATTCCCGGCCTTACAAGACTGCAGTGACGATGATTGTACGAAGAAAAGGAGCAATCCTCGAGGACGTTTTCCGTTCATATTTTCTTCACAATCAACTCTGACTTCAACTGTGATATTTCTTCGTTTTATTTCTGCTTGTTTTACTGAGCACGGTTTTCCGCTCAGGTGTATATATAAGCTGGGTCCTGTTCAAACCCACGCAACACATGTGACAGGCTGTCGCTTTGCTACTGCATTTATTGCTTGCATTGTTTAGCGTCACCCCGACACGTTTTGGTACGATCCAGTACAACAAATTGCCAATAAACGTTTACGATTCCCACGAGTGTTTTTGTCTACTTCGGGCAACGAGACACTAGGAGGTCGCGCACAATTTGAGATTAGTATGAAGACTCATCGACGGCCATCAACGCCGGTTAGCTTCAAGACTATTTTCGTTGACTTTCGGTTCCATGTGTGTGCCACCCAATGCGAGAAGAAGTTCGCTATTATGCCCTTCAGAGCTCAGAGTTTGCTATATTTCAATCCGTTGCTCCAGAGGGAAGGCATTTTATCCATTCTGAGAAGGGGGCCTCTCGTACTGGCCTAGTGACCAACCAAATTCCATTCTACATGTAAGCTTCCTCTGAAGCACCGCATTGTTTCATCACACCAAGGCCAATCTTTTTGATCAGCACGTGGTTGCTTTCACTTTCCGCACGCTTGCTCACGCTTCCGTCTCTCTCTTGCTCCGTAGGTCGTAACAATACAACCGGTCCTCCGTTTTGTGAATTGTCTTGTTCTGTTTTTTACGAACGTTCGTTTGCAACCTATACGTATCAGCTCGGGGTATCGATAAGCCAGTGCCTACGCTGGTGATTTTTTTCAGGAGCTTGAAGATCTCTACAAGATCCCTCCTCAACCTTCTCTTTTTCAGGGAGAAAAGTCCTAACCTCTACAGACTCTGGGTGTACGTCAATCGTTGGAGACCCGATAGAAATTTGGTAAAGCTTCTTCGTATCCTTTCAAGAGTGTTCATGTCTCCAACTTTAATTGTTGCTCATGCCTAGATTCCATACTCTAAGTGCGAATGAACAAACGCCTTGTACATTGGAAGCAGGATCACCGGGTCCCTGGATGCAACAGTGCGTCGCAACTGGAACAATGCCCTTCGAGCCTTCCCAACAGCCTGAGCCTTAGGTGTATTTACCCACTACTATTATTGTTTATGTATTCCTATTCGTATCTCTACTAGTTATTCCACTTTTGTATTCAACTTATTCAATTTGTCAACTACTCACCTATTTAAACGTTTCCGTATAAACTATCATCTAGGTCACCTATAATTTCTTAAATTATGGTTATTGGAGGGAA